ACATAAATAAATAAATCATTAAAAAAAAAATTGAAAATCAGAAAAACTGAACTGCAGAACTGGTACTGCCAGCCAGTTGTCCATGTTACCTTGCACAGGCAATTATTCTTAGAATCTCATCATTTTCTTTACTTGATAAGATAGACACAGTAAAAGGGCTATGAATTAAAAGTGCTTGAAAGAGTTTCAGGTGCATAGTCAGTGTGCAATAAGTATCAACTGTGATGACGATGATGATGATGATGGTGATTATAAATCCCAGAATCCCCAAATTCAGAAAGCAGTAGTAATAATTGCCATTTATAAAGCACTCACTACATTCTAGGCAGTCTGTGTGGGCAAAAGAGAGGATCAGAAGGGAAGAAAGGAAGAAAAAGGAAAGAAGTGGCAATCAGTTGTTGTTAACACATAAGTTATCTTTTTTTTTTTTTTAAGATTCATTTATTTATACAGGAACTGGGGAACGGGCCAGAGGTGGGGGAGGGCAAGAGGATTCACCAGAGACAGAGCAGGGAGCAGAACAGGCAGATGGACCAAAGACACTGCTAAGGGGAGCAGTGGGTGAGACAGGAGAGGTCTGCCGTGCTATGTGGGCATCTCCCTGGCGAGCTGGGAATCAAACCCATGCTGCAGAAGCTGCGGACAGCTTTACAGCGCTGCATTCAACCACCTGCACCACCAGGGAGGCCCAGGTTAACTTATCTTAAAGGAAAAACTCTCTAGAATTTAAAATTTATTAGAACGAGAGAAGAGACTCAAGAAAACTAAGTCAAAAAATTCTTTTCTAGATGCGTGACATTTACTTGGAAAGAAAAACAGCAAGGATGTAGGGTGGCTGAATATAGAGGCACTTGGCTGGCACTTCCATTTGTCTCTATCTGTTGTGTCCCCCGGTGGCAGATAAGTGAAGGAAGATGGTATAACAGGTACAAACAGTATGAAGATTAACACAAGTGGACAGGGCTTCTTATTCTCTACCTTTCACTTACTAAATTTAAGGTAAGTCCTTAATTTTCTGGTCCTCATCCTTTAAGTGGGTGGTTCCAAGGAATAAATGAGATCATTGTAATGTCTGTAAAGCAACTGACAAAGAATAGTTGCTTAATAGGATAGTTGTTATTCTCACTAAAGCATAACCCATATGTCTTACAATGACCTAAATTTTATTTATAAAACTACTCTGAGAAATTATATTAATTTTTAATGAGTAGTGATAGTCACAAAAATATTTTTCATGAATTTTAATCTCAGGACTCTAGGGGGAAAATTATATATGCTATAATGATTGTTAGTACTTACACATATACTCTAATTGTAATTTTGATCTTGTACTGAAAAATAAAGGAACATTTTTAAATAAATTCATCTTTTATAGTCAAGCTAGCTGAAATAATCTTTAAAAAATAAATACCAACCAAAAGCTACTCCCTTTCTAACCTGTAGAAAGGGGGGTTATGGAAAAATGGAATGGAATAATGAAATAATGGAAATAATGGAATATATGAGAATTTAAGTCACAAATACCTACTCATTATATTAACATGGTCTTTTATACAAACTTGAATCAACAACCAACAGCCTATAAGTCAATTTAGAGAAATGGAAATTCCTATTTCAGTAGATAAAATATGTATGTTTTGGGAAAATCCTGGGTAGCTGAGCTTTTTTTTTTTTAATCTAAGAGATTTCTTCTGAGATGGAAGGACAGCTAACAAAGATCAGGTCAAAAGTTTGCAAGAGAATATACAGCAACTATTTAAAAAGGCAAAGCTCACAGTTGAAATACCATGGATACTAGAGAAAAAGCATTTATTTTACAGCATTGTAATTGTTTCCATTCACATGGAACAACTCCAGCTGCTTTCAAAAATCAACAAATGATAAGCAGAAGGAAGATGGGAAGAAATAACATCATTTTTGTTATGTTCAACTGATAAACACTGGGTTACATATATATTATGTAAAGCATAATTAAGCACAGAATTAACATCATTTGTAATGCAATAAAGCAGTTAAGACAAATGCAAAAAAGTCTCCAACACACAGCTTTGATGATCTAAAATTGACATTGCCTAGTCATATATTTATTTAAAAAAAATGGACAAAGGGTCAAACAATTAATTGTTTCTCGATGTATGTGCACAGATTATGGCTAAAGGTCTAAAGCAATTTTCAACCTGATATTCATCAAAAGTGTTAAATCTTAACCTTCTGTGAACTATGCCTCTCAGAGTATATCTAATTGCCTATAATGAATGAATCCAAAATCAGCCCTACCCTGCATTTTGTAGCATGAGCATCATGGCCAAGAAATAAATACTATTCTTGATAATACTTTGGAGATATAAATTTACAAAGGCAGTCAAAAAGAACAAATTACTGGACATCCTCAATATTTTAAATACTGAGCAAGTATGCCATTCTCTTAAAATATGTCTTTCATTCACTCAATATTTACGGAGACCGTATTCTTTGATTAGCAGGTACCCTAGTAGGTGTAAAAGGTAAACAGGCTATAAGGTTATCACAGTTTAGAGGAAGTGACAGATATGTGTAGATGAAATTTTTTTTAAAGATTTATTACTTATGCATACAAGAGCTGGGGTGCAAGACAGAGGTGAGGGGGGATGAGAGGAATCACCAGAGACAGAGTGGAGAGCAGAACAAGTGGATCTACTGAAATACACTGCTGAGGGGAGCAGCGGGTGAGACAGGAGAGGTCTGCTGTGCCATGTGGGTTAGCTCCCTGGCTGGGGATTGAACTCATGCTGCAGTGGCTGCCAATGGCTTGATAGTGCTGAGACCTAACCCCTTGCGCCACCAAGGAGGCCCAGTAGATGCAATTTTAATACGATGAAAAATTCAGTGAGAGTACAGGGCCCTGGTGTAGAGAGGGAATAAACATAAGAGAGAGTGCTCAGAAACAAGTCATTTTATCTTATCTTGTGGAAGAAGGAAGTCAATAATAGCATGTCAGAGGTGATGACCACATTGGGAACTTAAGAATGAATAATGGTTGATTTTCATAATAACCTCTATCAAGCCTCATAACATAACAACTATTCCCATTTTATAGATGAGGAAATGATACACACTTTGACTCAGAGTTAACAACTGGCAGGACCAAATCTGACTGTTCCATGTCAGACATTTCCTGTTGCTTCTGAAGAATTAGAAAAATGTTCTGTATGTATCTCAAAGTCACAAACCTTTTACTATTGTTTATCTTATGCAGCAATTCCAACACATTTCCTTCTTACAATTCTCACCGTATCAGCTAAGAGAATATAATTGCTGTTGTATATTTCTGTCACATGCACTCAGAAATTCTCATGAAAATCCAAGATAATTACAATTACAATTGAGAAGAATAAATACAAAAACCAAAAACTGTCACTGAGAAATGAAGCGCTACTGAGAACTTTATAGTCAAAAAAATATTTACTTTAACTGATCAAATAATCTCAGATTTAAACAGGAGAGGAAACAGTCAAAAAGGCCCTCTGGAATAAGGACTTTCTTTGCCTCTTCTCATGATGGGACACAACAGGATTTTCTCGATCTTTTGCCTACCTGCATTAAAGAATTAGGGAAGAGTTTTATTTTTTAGCTACTATGCTCTCCACTTGAAAGAGATTATGTAAAAACTGGTAAGAAAAACTCACTTCTTCTGTGTGTCTCTGTTACTACTTACACAGAACATTTCAGATCTATACTTCTGTTCCCCAAATGTGTAGGGTTTTTCCTTCACTAAAGAATTCTGTAATACCAGCCAGTTCCTAAAATTGAACTTAATTTTGACACTATGTCAAAATATACCTGGAGATAGCATCAGGTTCCATAGGTTAAAGGTTCAGTGCCACAAAACTGCTCCCCCAGCCCCATTTCAGATGTCAATCACAAATCTAGGTTATCATCTGTATCTCTGACTGTCAGCTATAAACTGGAGGTTCCCAAGACTCCCACCTCAAGGTCAATAAACTTGCTAGAGCAATGTAGAGAACTAAGGAAAACAGTTTACTTGCTGTTTGCTGCTTTCATTATAAAATAATATGATAAAAGCTACAGAAGTTCTGATGGTAGAGATGTAAAGGACAAGATATGGGAAAGAAGGCAGAGTTTCCACACTCTCTCCCACTGTACCACTCTCTCAATATCTCCAAGTGTCCACAAACCTAGGAGCTTTCTAAATCCCATGCTTTTAGGAATTTCATGGAAGTTCCATCATGTAGGGATGATCCTTATTAACTCCATTTCTAGTTTCTCTCCCCTCTCTGAAAAATGGGGGGATGAAGCTGAAAATTCCAAGCTGCTAATCATGGCTTGATTAGCATTTCTGGTGAATAGCCCCCATCCAGAAGTCCACCAAGAGGCAGAGAACCACATATATAGTATTACATACACATACACACACACACACACACACACACACACACACACACACACATCACCCTGATCACCTATTGCCAGCAGCATGTGATTCTTAAATGTAAGCACACTAAGATGTCACTGACATCGTCATTAAATAGGAGATATGGAGATATCCTCAGTTTTATTCATTTAAACAGACTTTACTGATTATTTGCTATATGACAGGCAGTGTGCTACCCAGTAAGGAATCAGTGTTGAACCAGTCACAGAACCTGACGTTGCCATCAATAGTAAAAAGTAAGCTGGCAATTATAAATGCATAGACTCCAGTCCATTCATTTTAAACATGTGGAAAAGAGGATAAGAAGAGTTTGGCAAACTTTCATTATGCATTTTTTGTTTGTTTTTTAGGTGGTTCCAGTCAGATTCCTGCTAAGTGCTGAAAACTTCTCACAGCTTCTGACATTTCAGTTAGAAATTAAGGTTAATGCTCAAAAGATACTAGTTGGGGCACAGTATTCTGGCCCTTCTGTGCACCTGCATACCCCTCTCACACATGGATCAAGATACCTGCAGACATCTCCACAGCCGTCATCACTGACAGGAGGGAAATGCCAGATGGCTCCTGAACTGTAACCCTATTTGTAGGCCCCAAAAGAAAACAGCTTCCTGAGGAGGGATGAGTGTTTTTCCTGTACCCTCTGGCAATGCCAGGGTGCTTTACAGCAAAAGCCCCCAGGGTAAGGTCACTATGCATTGTTGATAGAAGTGTATAACTTTTTTTGGAAGACAATTTTGAAATGCCCTTTAAATTTAAAAATGTTCTTATTCTTCGAAGCAGTTTTATCCTTCAGATATATTTGCCTATCAAGAAGTGACTGATTGAATGAACTATAGAATAACGTGCAGCAATTTAAAGATGAAGTGGATTTGACAAAATGTGAACATGGGAAGATATTCAAGAGTTATTAATAGATTTTTAAAAAGCTGTAAAACAGCATGGATAGTAGGGCTATAAACATATAGCTAATATCATACCCAATGATGAAAAACTGAAAGCTTTTTATCCAAAATTGGTACAAGACAAAGGATATAAGACAAATATGTCCACTTTCACTATGACTATTCAACATAGTATTGGAAGATCTAGCAAGAAAGAGAAGTAAGAGAAATCCATATTGGAAAAGAAATAAAAGTATCTCTGGGCCTCTCTGGTGGAGCAGGCAGTTGAGCGCTGCACTGTGAGGCTGTCTGCAGCCTCTGCAATGTGGGTTTGATCCCGGCCGGCCAGCAAGAATCCCAAATGGCAAGGCGGAACTCTCCAGTCTCTCCCACTGCTCCCCTCATCAGTGTGTTTCATCAGTCTGCCTGTTCTGTTCCCCGCTCTGTCTCCAGTGAATCCTCTCACCCTCCCGCGCATCTGGCCTGTGCCCCGGTTCTTGTATAAAAATAAATATTTTTTAAAAAAAGAAATAAAACTATCTCTATTTACAGATAGCATAATACACAGAGAAAATACTAAAGACTCCACCAAAAAAAAAAAATGCTATTTGAAGCAATAAAACAATACAGTGAAGTGGCAGGCTACAAAATGTATACAAATATCTGTTGTTTTCCAACAAACTAAAAGAGAAATAAAACAACCCCATCAAAAGAGTTAAATACCTAAAAATAAACCTAAGACATTGTTAAAAGAAATACAAGACACAAAGAAACAGATATTCCTTGCTCACAGATTGCAAGAATCAACATTGTTAAAAAGGCCATCTTATCCTACAGATTTAATGCAAACCCTACCTAAGTTTCAATGGCAATCTTCAAAGAAATACAGCAAACAATACTGAAATTTATATGGAACCAAAAAAGACCCCAAATAGCCAGAACAATTCTGATAAAAAAGAACAGCGGCATCTCACTCCCAGACTTTACACTTTACTACAAAGTTTACAGCTATCAAAATATACTTTTGGGGCCTCCCCGGTGGCGCAGCAGTTGAGCGCTGGGTTGCGAAGCTGCCCGCAGCCTCTGCAGCACTGGTTCGATCCCCGGCTGCTCCCCAGCCACCGGAGGAGGGTCCCACATGGCGCGCAGACCTCTCCTGCCGCCCGCTGCTCCCCTCAGTAGTGTACTTCGGTCCTTCTGCCTGTTGTGCTCCCCGCTCTAGCTCTGGTGAATTCTCTCACCCTCCCGTGCTTCTGACTGTACCCAATGCTTGTATAAATAAATAAATCTAAAAAAAAAATATAGTTTTGAATAGATCAATAGAAGAGAATTGAGGGCCCTCAAATGGATAATTGATCTACAGCAAAGGAGCCAACAGTATGCATTGGAGAAAGAAAGTCTATTCATCAACTGGGCCTCCCTGGTGGCACAGCAGTTGAGCGCTGGGTTGTGAAGCTGTCCGCAGCCTCTACAGCGCTGGTTCAATTCTCGGCTGCTCCCCTGCAGCGCTGGTTCGATTCCCGGCTGCTCCCCGGTCACTGGAGGAGGGTCCCACATGGCGTGCATACCTCTCCTGCCGCCTGCTGCTCCCCTCAGCAGTGTACTTTGCTTCTTCTGCCTGTTCTGCTCCCCGCTCTGGCTCTGGTGAATTCTCTCACCTTCCCGTGCTTCTGACTGTACCCAGTGCTTGTATAAATAAATAAATCTTAAAAAAATAATAAAAAAACTGGGCCTCCCCGGTGGCGCAGCGGTTGAGCGTTGGGTTGCGAAGCTGCCCGCAGCCTCTGCGGCGCCGGTTCTATCCCCGGCTGCTCCCCGGCCACCGGAGGAGGGTCCCACATGGCGTGCAGACCTCTCCTGCCACCCGCTGCTCCCCTCAGCAGTGTACTTCGGTCCTTCTGCCTGCTCTGCTCCCCGCTCTGGCTCTGGTGAATTCTCTCACCCTCCCGTGCTTCTGACTATACCCAGTGCATGTATAAACAAAACAAACAAACAAATAAATAAATAAATAACATGCCTCTATAAAAAAATAAAAATAATAATAATAATAAAACAAATTTTAAAAAAGTGTTTAAAAAAAAAAACAAGTCTATTCATCAACTGGTGTTGAGAAAACCGGGACAGCTACATGCATAAGAACGAAACTAGACCACTATCTCGCACCACAGATGCAAAAAATTAACTCAAAATAAATAAAAGACTTGCATGTAAGACCAGAAACCATAAAATATATAGAAGAAAACATAGGCAAACATTCCATGACATTGGATTCAGGAAACTCAACTACAACGGCAAGGGAAGCAAAAGCAAATATAAGCAAATGGGAGACTACAAAAAACTAAAAAGCTTCTGCACAGTGAAAAACTATCATTAAAAACAAAATGCACCCTTCTGAGTGGGAGAAAATATTTGAACATCATACATCTAAAAAGGAGCTAATAGCCAACAAGAGCAAAAAACCTCAAAAATTCCAATAAAAAAAATGGGCAGAAAAGCTAAACAGACAATTATCCAAGGAAGACATATAGTGGACAATAGGTACATGAAAAAATGCTCATCATCACTTAGAAATGTAAATGTTACTGGGAATAGGACTGGGTTCTGCTGCTTGTCACTACCAAAAGCCAAGACAGGAATCGAATCTACAAGCACTTTTATTTTTCAGATCGTTGCCCATAGGTCTGAAGAACAGGAGGGCCATTCTACCATCTCGTCTCGAACTGACCTTTACATATAATGAGTTAAACAAAAAAAGTCATATGTGAATTGCTTTATCAGGACAGGCCATGATCATTGAATCAGTTTATCAGGACAGTCCATCATAGCTGATGTTCTTGGCACTCATCACATTTAGCCACCAGAGTTTGTTACCAGCTTCTTAGTTATCTTGACCCTGGTACATCCAATAGCATCAGTGTTCAACACTCATTCAGGCATCACTGGGACAGGAATCTCAGTCTTTTTTAAAAAAGATGTATTATTTATTTATGCATGCATGCATGCATGCAAGAACTGGGGTAGAGGCCAGAAGTGCAGAAGAAGGTGAAAGGATTCACCAGAGACAGAGTAGGGAGCAGAACAGGCGGGTCTACTGAAATACACTGCTGAGGGGAGCAGCAGGCGAAACAGGAGGGATCTGCTGTGCCATGTGCATTAGCTCCCTGGCTGGGAACTGAACTAGTGCTTCAGTGGCTACCAATCGCTTCATAGTGCTGAGACTTAACTCTGCGCCACCAGTGAGGCCCCAGGGATCTCAGTTTTAAAGCAAGAGTTTTAGTTTAAAGAAAACAGATCATTATTCATATAGTGTGTATGTGCAGCCTATGCTAGGTATGTATACTAGTGATGGTGTCCTTCCTTTCCTCCTGAGCCCCCTATCACAAATGCATAGTTGTCAAACTAACTCACACAGGGGAAGGGTAGGGCACCATACCTAGTACAGGAATACATGTAGCATAGGCTGCACATATACACTATATAACTAATGATCTGTTTTCGTTAAACTAAAACCACTGCTTCTTTGAGCTGAGATTCCTGCCCCGATGATTCCCAAAGGAGTGCTGGACAATGACGCCATCATATGTACCAGGGTCAAGATAATCAGGAGGCTGACGAGAACATCTCGGAGCTGAGCATGACAAATACCAGGAATATCAACTGTGACAACTGTTCTGATAGGCTGTCTGCTTATGACTTTTTCCATTGCATTTAACTCATTATAAAAAGGCCAGCTCAAGATGACAGGCAGAACAGTTTCTTCAGGGTGTTATGCCCACCGTTCTCTCAGATCCCTATAGAGGGATCTGAAAAAAAGGAAGTACTCATAGATTCAATTTCTGCCTCTGCTTATTGGCTTTTGAGTAATGACAGTCAGCACAGAGAACCTGGCCTGTTCTGGTAACATTATCAATGTTTAATACAATGGCTAAAGATAATTACTTTTATGTTAATATTTATGTAATGTGGATTGAATTTTTTCTTAAAGAGGATGTTCAACTAAGTTGATGTGATTTATAAACATTTTTAAAGAAAGATTTGATATTTTTAAGTTTTTGTATTTATGAAAGTTCTTTGAAAAGTATAAAGTCTTAAATAAATTATAAGATTATCTATCTGTAGTAATGATAAATAATATTACACATTATTTGAGGAACTCCAAAAAAGAGTTTGCAGGGAGGTCCTCCTTGGTGATGCAAAGGATTGGGACGCAACCTATGAAGCTTTCTGCAGCCACTGCAGCATGAGTTCCATCTCCGGCTGGCTAGGGAGCTACCCACATGGTGGAGCAGACCTCTCCTGACTCGCCCACTGCTCACCTCAGCAGTGTATCTCAGTCAGTCTGCCTGTTCTGTTCTCTTCTCTGTCTCTGGTGAATCCTCTCACTTCCCACACCTCTGGCCTGTACCCCAGTTCTTATATGCATAAATAAATAAATCTTTAAAAAAAAAGCCTACAGGGAAAAAATTAAATAACATTAGGAATTGGGAAAACAATACAGTTTCCTAGTTTCTTGTAAGCATTCCTGAACTTTAATCCAAATCCCCAGAGTGCTAGTCTGATTTCCTTTTTATGCCTTATGGGTAATCTGTTAGAACTTTTAGCTCAAAGGCAAAAGCTCTTCTAAGTAACACTAATTCTCATTACAGAAAATGCAAATAGTGGAGTGTTTCTATGAATGAAAAAGAAAGTTGCTAATACTGCTAATCAGCACTTAGGACAATCATGTGCAAACTATAAACTTTAAATCATTGGAATGTAAAGTTGAAACAAAAAATAGCTTGTTAATATAAAGACCTCTCAATTATC